AAATTTGATTAGGAACTGTTGTATGAAAGTACAAAATCACAATAAAAATATAAAAAAATAAAAATACATAATTTAAAGAAATTATTTGTTGCTGACCTTTAATCACAGACTCAGGAGGCAGAGGCAGGTAGATCTCTGTGAGTTCCAGGCCAGTTGGGTCTACAGGGAGTCCCTGTCTCAAAAAGACCAAAATACCCAAATTATTTGTTGGGTGGAGATGGTTAAGAACACTTGCTGTTTTTCTGGAGGACCTGGGTTCAATTCCCAGCACCCACATGGGGGCAAACAACTACCCATGACTCCAGTTCCAGGGGAGCCGATGCCCTCTTCTGGTCTCTGTGAGCATTGCATGCACATGGTGAACTTACATACATGCAGGTAAAACATTCATATACATAAAATTAAAGTAATAAAACATTTTAAAAAATAAAATAGGGGCTGGAGAGATGGCTCCGCAGTTAAGTCCACTGGCTTCTCTTGCAGAGGACCCAGGTGCAATTCCCAGCACCCTACATGGTGGCTTAGCAACCATCTGTAAATCCAGTTCCAGAGGAATCCAACGGCCTCTTCTGACCTGTGTGGGTATTGCATGACATGGGTTCGCACTTACACACATGCAGACAATACATTCATACAGATAAAACAAAAAATAATAACAATAATAAAATAAATTTTAAAAATAAAACGTGTGTGTGTGTGTGTGTGTGTGTGTGTGTGTGTGTGTGTGGAGAGAGGCCAGAAGAGAATGTCAGAGCTTCTAAAATTAGAGTTATAGGCAGTTGTAATCCCTCCTACGTGGGTGCTGGGAACCAAACTCTGGGAGAGCAGGAAGCACTCAACTGCTGAACCATTTTCCAGCCCCTCCCTTATTTTCTCAGTGCTGTATGGTGCCGCTCCATGGTCAAATGCTTGCCAAACATGCATAAGGCTCTGGATCCCATCTCTAAGCACCAAAACCAAATTTCATAACTGTGTAATCAGTTGCATGTTAGACCTCAACAAAAATAGGAAAACCCAAGAAGGGTTAGAGTGTGACTTTGGAGTAGAGTGTTTGGCTAGCATGCAAGAGTTCATGGATTCCACTGCCAACAGTCTTGCTGGGTGTGGTAGCACACACCCATAATTCCAGCACTTGGGAGACAGAGGCAGGAGGATAACTACAAGTTTGAAGATAGCCTAGGCTAAAGAGTTCCAAGTCAGCCAGGGTTACAACAGCAAAACCTTATCTCATAAAGAAAAGAAAAAAAGTACTTAATGACAAGTACTTTATCATTCTTGGAAACATCAAATAATATTTAAAAATCTTTTCTCTCTCTTCCTTCCTCCCTTCCTCTCTCCATCCTGTTAAGCTTTCTTATTTTACTAATTCCCTTGGGAATGAACATGGCTAGTTTATCACATGGTCTAGCTGTTAGGTCTTTAGCTTGGACATTATACCCTGAAAAACTTGGAATGACCATGAACTCCACCCACCCCCAAGGGGCAGGAAGAATCTATACAAAGTTAACTCCAGCACAGGGAAATCCACCAGCATCCTGGCTTGCCCTCATCCAACCTTCAGAGTCTGATACAAGGAAGTAGCCAGTGAAAAACCTCACTCACACCCTTACAGACTTGGTTAGAAGTATGCTTCTGGTCTGTCCCTACATCCCACTATACTCTGCAGATAAGTACACATTCACACACACACACACACACACACACACACACACACACACAAGGCATACCACCTATGCAAGCACAATCTCACAAGTACCAATCTGTGTCCATCCACATATATACCTAACATGGACAGAGGGACACAGGAAGTTCTCCAGGTCCATGTTCAGCATCAAACTGTCTACACCAGTGCCCAGAACTCTCATTTGAGAGTTAAGCGAGTCGGGTGTGGTGGCACATGGGAGGCAGGGGGAGCTCTGTGAGTTTGAGGCCAGCCTGGTCTCCATAGTGAATCTAGGCCAGCTGCAGCTAAAGGGAGACCCCGTCTCAAAAAGAACCACCCCCCCCCCCGCAAAAAAAAAAAAGACAGAGAGTTAAGCCCACTTGGAAGGAAGGCGCTCACTAGTACCTAAAATTTCTGACCCATGAAGTAGCAGGAATTTCTTTGAAGGGTATCTAACCAGAAAACAAGCAGAAGCTTGGATAAAATGGATCATCCTACAGTCCCTTGGCAGGAAAATAGTAACAATCTCCCAAAGCATGGCAGAGTGCCCTGGAGTCCACAGAGCACTGGAACTTGCACAATCATCCCACTTGGGCCTCAGAAAACCTGTGATATAGGAATTTTGTCTTTGTTTTTAAGGAAGAAGCAAGCTCAAGGAAGCTGACAGTCATAAAACCAAATGTTTAGTAACTAAGAGAGAAGCACATTTGCTTGGAAATTAGGATAAAGAAGGAAATCAAGATCAATGGTGATGCAGAAAGACAGGCACTGGGGACAGAAAACAAGGTGAAATCATCTTATTAGTCACTGGACTTCTCTGAGCCACAGTATTTCCAGTTGATGAGTGAGTTTAAGATTTTTCCGTTTCAGACCTAAAAAGTTGCTAAAGCAACCATGAGTGGTGGCTCATGCCTATAATCCTAGCACTCTCCAAGAGGCTGAGGCAAGAGGATCAATAAAGCCCAGGAGTTCAAGTCTAACCTGGGTCAACATAGGAAAACCATTTCCAAAAAAAGAATGAAGGAGGAAGGGGGGAAGGAGAGGAGGGAGGGAGGGAGAGAGAGAGAGAGCGAGAGGGAAGGAAGGAAGGAAGGAAGGAAGGAAGGAAGGAAGGAAGGAAGGAAGGAAGGAAGGAAGGAAGGGGCCAAGTATGTGACAATTGCTATTGCTAACACTTAGGAAGTGGAGACAAGAGGATCAGAAGTTCAACGCTGATGTGTGGTAGGGTTTCAGTGCCACCAGCTTTAATATTTTACAGTGGACTCTGTCTTCACAGATTTCACATCTGTGGGTTCAGCCAACTATGGTTAGAAAAGGTTTGGGGAAAAAGCTTCTTCTGAACAGATACAGACTTTTTCCCTCTCCCTAATTTCCTCATTGATACAATATAACAATGGTTTGCATAGCATTTACATTGTGTTAGGTACTTTAAATACTCTACAGATGATTTAAAATATACAGAAGGATGTGTGTAGGTTACATGCAAATGCTATGCTTTCATAGAAGAAATTTCAGCATCTGCAGAGTTTGGTATCTTCTAGTGGTCCTGGAATCAATTCCTCATGAACCCTGAGAGATGGTTGCTTTATTTATTTATTATTTATCATTTATTTAATTTATTTATTTATATTTATTTATTGTGCAAGGGATCAAAAACTCAGGGCTTTATGCCTGCTAGGTAAGTATTCTACCACCTACCACATCACTGCTGTTTGTTTTTATTTATTTTTTGGGATTTTTTTGAGCCAGTCTCCCCGTAGCCCTGCTGTCCTAGAACTCCCTATGTAGACCAGGCTGGCCTTGAACTCACAGAGATCTGCCTGTCTCTGACTCCTGAGTGCTGGGATTTAAGGCATGCACCACCATACCTGGCCTATTTATTTTTTTATTATTTTTTTATGTATATGTGTGTATTGCCTGTATGTAGGTAAGTGCATCCGTGTCATGCAATGCCTGCGGAGGTCAGAAGAGGCTGTCAGATCCCCTGGGACTGGAGTTACAGACAGTTGTTAGCTTCTATGTGGGTGCTGGGATTCAAACCTAGATCTTCTGTAAGAACAACCAGTGCTCTTAACTGTTAAGCCATCTCTCCAGCCCCTATTTTATTCTTTTTTTTTTTTTTTTGGTCTTTTTGAGACAGGGTCTCTCTGTAGCCCCAGCTGTCCTGGAACTCACTATATAGACCAGGCTAGCCTTGAACTCACAGAGATCTGCCTGCCTCTGCCTCCCAAGTGCTGGGATTAAAGGTATACACCACCACGCCCGGCTATTTATATTTTTTACAAGATCTTGTTAGCCCAGGCTAGCCTTGAACTCAGGATTCTCCTGCCTCAGCCTCCTTGGTGTTGGCATGCACCATCACACCAAGCAAGGACAATTATTAATTTTCATGTCAACACTGTTTACTTGTTACTCCCCCAGTTTTAGAAACAAAAACTAAAACTCAGACATGTTAAATAAATTGCCCAGTCATAAGCCAGGGAGTAGGAAGGAGAATCTACCAAGCTGTGTGAGGCCAGAGATCTGTCTACTAGGGAACTGTCACAAGAGGCAGATGAGGGGGTGGCACAATACGGCATGCCGGAAGATGGAAGAAGCAGGTGACCGCACAGGGACATAGACCAAGACACAAGAGGTGACATGCATAGAATGTACTTGGACTCCCCAGCGTGAGCAGGGCAGTGCAGCTGGACAGAGTATTCCAGAGGTCTTAGAAGTCCAGACTAAAGAACCAGGAAAGGATTCTACTGGAAGAGGCCTTGTCAAACCACTTAGTAAGAAAATGACCATGGTAGGTATATGGAAGGGCTTGGGACCGAAGACTCGGCTCTAATCCACCCTCGGGGCTGACAGTGACAAGGTGTACGCTTGAGGGAGCGTGCAAACAGAAAGGGTCGTGTGAGTATAAGAAGCAAAAATCAGCAGAACCGGGGTACAAAGTCACTAGCTCTCTCTAAGCAGGTTTTGACTTACAATCCAACTCTACCAAGGTCTAAGCTGCTCTGGCCCTCCTTCTTCCCTATGGACTCCCCTTGTGGGGAGTACGCACTCCTTTTCCCATCTGTCCCCACACCGAGGTTTCACACTTGCTATGTCTCCTGCCCAGGATGGTGCTTGACTACTGATCACCACATGACTGGCTCTACCTTGTCACTAGGTCTCGATTCAAATGTCAGCACATCAGGGAGCCCTCCCTGAGTCCCTCAGCTATTAACAACTCCAGCACACATCACTTGATAGCACACGAAGCTGTTTCTTTGCCCCAAGTAGTAATTCCATCCCAAATAATCCTAATTACTGGATATTAATTCAGTCTGTCATCCCCCACTGGAATGCCAGCTCTCTGAAAAAAGACTGTAAATGCTTCACACACTCTATTTCCAACATCTTCAACAATACCCACATGTAGTAGCAGCTCATCATTTATCTGCTGAAGTGAGGGGAGAAGTGAAAAGAAAACAATGGAAGGGTTTCATTGTGAGGGGGGAGGTTGGCTGGGAATGAGAGCTTTCTCAGACCTTCAAATTGTCATGTCTGAGGTGACATGAACTACCCAGTGGGAACAGGTCCTAGGGAGGGGGCAGAAGGGGACCAGAGACTGGAGGTACCAGTGATGGGAAAAGATACACATCTGTCAGGGGGAAAAATGTGTAAAACCGGATCAGAGTGGCATTGGTATGTGTGTGGGGGTGGTTCTCACATCTTGTGAGCAGAAGAAAGTCCACATAGACAGGAAACAGACCCAGGGGAGGGGTTGCTGGGACTACTCATGGCCAAATACCTGTTGAGAGTTGTGAAGGATACCTCTCCCATCCAGAGTAACAGCAGGACCCAGGTGGTGCAGGGAACTTACCCATGGGACAGCATCTCCCTGGAGGGATAAGAGAAGTCACAGGCAATAGGCCCACGGGGGGCGGGGCGAGCGAGTGGAACAGCTGTGCAGAAATCAAGACCTGACTGTTGTCAGGAAGAATGTTCCGGTTATCAGGCACTTCCTCCTCTATCCAGTCTGCCAAACCAATGGCACAGGAGGACAAGGCCCTGGACTAATGGCCTCTGTGGGAAGGACAGGTGGGGCGGGTCTGGGCCAAGACCGCCCACAGCGGCCTAATTTCCCCAGAGGCCCACGGCAGCCCTGCTGGAGTGCCCAGTATCCTTGTTGGAAGGGGAGGAGCCACCTGCAGCTCCACCTGGAGCTCCAACTGCTGGAGCAGCAGGAGGGCCGGTAGAGGCAAATACTAGGAAGTAACCCGGGCCTAGGGGCCCGCCTACCAGCGGGGTACCTCTCAGATGCTGTACAGCCTGGGGCCCATAGGAAGGCTCTGGAAGCCTATTGCCTATAGGAGGTGCCACCTGTTTGGGCTGAAATTCCCAGGGTGCTGTAGCCCTTTTAGCCTCTCACCTGCCTGGGGAGCAAAGGTGGAGCCGGGAGCAGTGACTGGGGCACGGTTGGGCCCAGAAAGGAGGAAAAGGGAAAGATGGATTGGAGGTTGTCAGAACTACAAATGACTGGACACCAAGGCTTGGTCACAGGCACATTTATTATCCTCCGGAACACCAAGGTCTTGTTTCCCTGGCACAATGAAGGGATCAGCTCTCAGGACGCAGCCACACTGCCTCCAGGAGCAGGTCCGTGGGGTGGCAGTGTCATAGGCGGCAGGAACAGGGCCTTCAACTTGCCTGAAAGGCTGGCTATCTCAGGATCTTGGGCTTCGTAGGACTTGACCAGGCGGGCAAACTTAAGGACACCTGCAAGAGGGAGCAAGTCAAGCCACACTGTTGGGGAGCAGTGTGCCAAGGCAGGAGAGGGAGAGTTCCTAGAGTGTGGGGGGCCAGATGCCAGATGATCTCTTTCTAGTCAGGTAGCCATCAGCGAAACCATTCAGACCAGTGTCCAGTGTGGTTGCATTCAACCACTTCTCCACTTAACACTGGGCACAAATGGATGGGATGCAGTAATGAGAATGTCTCACTCAGGTGAATCCTATTAGCAGATTAATCAACATCCATGAGACCCCAGGGCTACGAGGCTGCAGTTCCTGGGTAGCTAGGCTGAATTAATACCCCTGGAAACAATGATCTCGGAGAAAACTTAACCTCCAACCCCAAAAACCATTATCCAAAACACCTTGTAGAAGCAGGCTACCATGCAGACATTTTCCTAAAGGCCAGTGGAAAGGAGTTCAAGTCCCAGTCACTTACTTTAGTACTAGAATCAGTTCCTACATCATAATACAAAATAGTAATCAATGGCAACCATAAAATGCATGTAGGACACTGCCCTCAAAAGTTTAGGGTAGGGCTGGAGAGATGGCTCAGCAGTTAAGAACACTGGCTGCTCTTACAGAGGACCGGGTTCAAATCCTAGCACCCAGCCGGGCATGGTTGGCCACAGCTTTCATCCAGGAAGTAACCCGGACCTAGGGGCCACCTACCAGTGGGGTACCTCCAACACTCATGAGGCAGAGGCAGGCGAATCTTTGTGAGTTCTAGGCCAGCCTGGTCTCCATAGCAAATCTAGGCCAGCTGGAGCTACAGGGAGCAGCTACAGCTGCGGTCTCAAAAACAACAACCCCCCCCAAAAAAACAAAACCAAATCCCAGCACCCAAATGGAGGCTAACACAGTCCATAACTCCAGTTCCAGGGGATCCCACACCCTCATCTTGCACAACACGGATGCACACTTACATACATGGAGGCAGTACATGCATACACGTAATTTTTTTTTTAAAGTTTAGGGTAAAGCCAGGTGTGGTGCCCCACTCCTTTATTCCTAGCACTCAGAAGGCAGGGGTGGGCAGATCTTTGAGATCAAGGCCAGCCTGGTTTACATAGAGTTCCAGGCCAGCTGGGGCTACGAGAGACCCTGTCTCAAAAACCAATAAACAAACAATATGTTTAGGGGAGAGCCAGGCCTTGTGGCACAAGCCCGTAATACCAGCTACTCAAGTGACTTGAGGTGGGAAAAATTTGAGATGGAGGCCGGTTTGGATGACTTAATGAACTCCTAGCTCAAGGAGAGCTGGGTGTATATATAGCTCAGTGGTGGAGTGTTTGCCTAGCGTGTGTGAGGCCCAGGATTCAATCTCCAGTACATGTATTTTTTTTAAATGTATTTAAATTTTATGTGCATGAGTGTTTTGCCTGCATGTAAGTGCACCCCTATAGTGCAATGCCCGTGGAAGCCAGAAGAGGGCGTCGGACCTCCTGGAACCGGAGTTAAGGATGGATGTTAGCTGCTATGTGGGTGTTGGGAACCGAACCTGGATCCTTTGCGAGAGTAGCCAGAGCTCTTAACCGCTGAGTGCATTAAAAAAAAAAAAAAAAAAATGGTGAGGTCTTGAGTTCGGAGTGCAAATAGATTGTGACTGCCGCCGTGTGGCTAGAAAGAGGGCGCCCCAGGGGCCCACCGATCATGGCCCCCTCCATCCACTCCATCGCCGTCCCGCGTGGGACCCACCTTCCCCGTCGCAGCTGAAGCCATAGGCTTTGATAACTTCCTGCTGGATCTGCGTGGCTACGGGCAGCACGAATTGCAGCATCTTGCCCATATCGTTGCACGCATTGTCTCTAGCCTCGTCCATGCGCACGGCGTTCTCTGGAGCCGAGAATGCTTGGATCACCTCCGCCAAGACCACTACGAGCCGGAGGCAATCCCAGGGAGGTCCCCGGAGCCCGGCGGACGGACCACAGGACAGCGCAGAGAAGAGGGCAAGGAATTAATGGACCGAAGTCATCGGCAGCACAAGCTAGTCCTCCGAACCTTTGAGGCCTCACTCGGAAGAGGGAAAGGGATGGGACCGCCCGCCGCCCGCCCCCCGCCCGCATCCTCCCAGGGCAGGCAGCCCACCTCACCCTTGGCCTGTTCTGCGCTCAGGGCCACGGGCTGAGCCGCGGCGGACGCCATGAGAAACTGCTCGTATGGTGGCAACACAGAAAAGGTTTGGACGAAGGAGCAGCCTCCCACCGCAACTCCCGAGGCCGGTGGAGGCGGAAGGGAAGCAGCATCAGCACAAGCCGGAAGTTTCTCGGCGCAGCCCTAACCTCGGCACGCAGTCCACAAAGAATCGGGCCCGAATAACCACCACCATCGCCCAAACAGAGAACCAAAGACTATCATTTGCAACTACTGACTTAGAAAGGGGTTTTCCGACAAAAGTCAGAAAACCTACTAGACAAATTCTAAAAGAGCTGTAACACTTGCGGAAGTATGCCTGCAGCGAGCCTGGGAAGTCCATGAAGTCCACTTTTGATGAGGGTGAACTCAGAGTGACCGTTTTCCCTTATTTCCCACTAATATGTGATAACACTGCACACTTGAACATCCAACTGAGAAGGTAATACCCTGAAGAATTTGCCAAAATCATCTCGTTTCTCGAGTTTGCGACCGTTTGATATAGGCTATGCAAATGACGCGGTGCTGATTGGCTAAAAACAACCAATCACAGCCCTTTCGTTGTCGAGACCGAAAACCGGGAGTTGCAGAAATAAAACCTCCAAGCCAGAGCTGAAGTGGCTTTAAATAGTGGTAGGCACTGTGGCCCCGGTGTCTTATATTATCTTTATGGGCTCCTGTAGTTGCCATTCCTTCCTCGGTGTCGGGTGCTGCTGGGCGTGGTGATGCACTGTTGACCCCAGCACTCCAGAGGCTGAGGCAGGAGAACTGCCCCAAGGTCAGCCTGGGTTACAGGACCCTGCCTCAAATTAAAAATAGAAAATACTAGCTACTAATCTTATTGGCTTACTGAAGTTATGCCCACTTCATAACCGAGTCTCAAACTAGGTTATGGAAAGGATTCAGATCTCTGAAATCCTTGTTTCTGAAATATTTTGGTGGCATATGTGACAGAATCAGTGACAGGACTATTTCCAAGGTCTGAGAAGGTTCCTATATCTGGTCATGCCCACTGTGGGCCTGTCCCAGGCCTCTCAGGTCTCAGCTGCCTTGATTTCATCCAGTCTTAAGAGAGCTGAGGACCAGAGATGAAAAGTCCTGTCCAATCCTTCAGGGTCCCAAAGCCCATCCCTTCCCACTTCCTTGCTGTAATCAGACCTCACTTCACCCCACCAGTCCCATAGCCCACCAAAAACAAGTCACAGTCACAATCCTGGGGAGTTGTGAGGATGTTTTTGTTTGGTTGATTTTGGTCAGGATGTTTTTTAAAGAGCATCATATAGATATTTATATATATAAATTATTGTGGGGAGGGCAAGGGGCACACATTGCCGAGAGGGTGCACACACAGGGATGGGGCAAGGGCAGCACACAATGCTACGCAAAACAGCCACATCTAACAGATGAAATAATCACACCAACGGGGTAGGGGAGGCGCAGTGGCTACCAAGGATTGGGCATAGAGGAGAAGAAAAGCAGAGGATAAGGAAGAGGGACCTGGTCCAAGATACTGTGCACTTTCTGTCCCCACCCTTGCCACTTCCCACCTCTGCACACAACCCTGGCCTTGACCTTGTCTGTCCCTTCTTCCTTCCCTCCCTCTGGCCAGCTGCAGAGGCCCTGCAAGTGAGCAGCACCCCCTCCTCAGCTGTGGGGGAAGGGTCAGGAAGGGGGGTCCTCCAAGGTCTGGATGAAGGGGCTGTGGGTGCTCTCTTGATGGCAGCTTCTACAGCGGCTTGTCACTTTCTTTCTTCAGGTGACTAGAGAAGAGGCAACGCATCAGAGATAAGACTGAGGAAGGAGGGAACCCTTCCAAGGAGGCTGATGCCCTACTGTACCATCCCCACAGCCCACTTGATGCTGCTTAGGCCCACCTCCCCATATTTGTGGTCTGGGGGCAACGTATAGTACCTGTAGTAGTCCTCCTGGGCAGGTAGTGGCACACTGTGCAGTGGGTGATGGGCATGCAACCACTGTTGCTGTTCCAGTGCCAGGCGCTGCAGCTCAGCAGACTGCGCGTGCATGGCCTGCAGCTGATGAGCTGCTGACATTGGGGCAGAGAGGGAAGCTGGCAGGTCCCGATAAGGGGCAGCTGTAAGAAAAGGACCATGTGACTGACAGATGCTAAATACCTGACTCTGGGCCAGGGTACAGCCAGCCACTTTACAGATAGAGGAAACTGAGACTAAAAGGTAAATGACACCACCGATGCTGCAATTTGCCAGTGGTAAAATGAAATTAGGAGGCAAACCTCTGCCTAGCCCTAGAACCTGAGCCTCCCTTGAGGAGGACAGACCTCAGCTCTACTGTTTGCACCCTAGCTCCTCAACCTCTTTCCAAACCCCACTAGGTCATTCTACCACCCAAATTCCTCCCTCTGGCCTTCCCTCTTCAGAACTTCTCCATCCCAACCTCCATCCTTACCAAAGAGCTGGTGACGAAGAACTTCGTTCTCGTGCAGAGGGTGAGGAAGAAGGGGGTTAGGAAGGGTTCCAGCTGGATAGGGAATCCGGGTAAGGTGAGACCCTGAGGCCAGGGGGTCAATGAGAGGGTGGACCGAGGCGGAGGCTGAAGGGCAGAGAAGAGGAAGGTGTCACTAGGAGGCAGGTTTAGGGAAAACCACTGAGGTGAAGGGATTCAAGCCTGGGAAGAGACAGACACAAGGAATCCAAAGTGGAACAAAGCCAGAATGGAAAGCTAGACACCCTCAGGATGAACAGAAGAAACTACTGGAAAAGAGACATTGATAACCAAGGACAGGAGAGGTTTAGCAGAGGGGTCTCAGAACCAGAGAGGAAGGTAGATTACTCTGTAGAGATGAAGGGTAAGTTTAGGAAATAATAAAAACAAAGGAAAAAAGTTAAAGCAATGAGACAGGAAAAAGTATTTAAAGGAAGACAGTGGGGATGAATAGGAGCAAATTGGAAGGCACAAAAATGCCATGAGCCTGTCATTTTATAAACTTAGTAAAAAAAAAAAAATGTTCTTACAAAGGAGCAAACAAGAAAAAAAGTTGGTGAGCGAGAAGATAGTAAGAAAAGCTCATTGCCTGTGGACAAAACCCAAAGGTACATGGCCCTTTCTAGAAGGTTCTAAACCTACAGAAAACACCCCTTGATTTACGGGAAGAAGAGGCTGGCAAGAAATAAGACTGGTGTGCAGGGCAACAACAGTGGCATGTGGGACTTGGTGAAAGAGAAGATCGGAAGGTGGTCCTTCAAGGTGAGTCTTGATTTTGACTCTCAAGAGGGGAAGGCTGGACTATGGAGAAGGAAAAAAACATTCTGGAGGAATGTCAAGAGAGCTAAGATCAGGTCAGGACAGCAATCTCAGGAGAGGGACGGTCTGGCCTGAGGGACACAAAGAGCCCAATCACACTAGCAGATAAGGTGGAGCCACAGACCAAAGTAGAGGTCTCACCTGCATGGATGGCATCCTGCTGGTGCAGGTGAAGGTGAGAGTGGATATGGGAGTGCTGGTGGTGATGGGGCGTCACGTTGAGCATCTGCAGCCGAGCCAGTGGGTCATTGCCCAGGGCCGCCACCCTTTCTGCATGCTGCCTTTCAGCTGCCAGTCGCTCAGCGTAAGACATGTCTGGACGCAGGGCCGGCCCAGCTGCCAGCGCTAGACGTTCTCGCTCCAGGGGCCCCAGGCTCGGATGAAAAGGGAAAGGATGCAGGCCAGGCGGCCCAGGCTGTAAAGCTAGGCCCCCATGTCGCGGGAAGGGATCCAGGCCCGGACCGGGAACACCATGTAGGGGTTCCAGCTCACTAGGCTTCACCTCAAAGCCAGGCTTGAGACGGTCACGGAGGTCTCGTTCGCGGGCTTCCCGCTCCCTTTCCCGGGCAGCTGGGTCACTGCTGTACAAGGCTGGGACATTGTAACCCAGGAGCCCCGGGTCCACTGCCCCCAGGGGCACGTAGAATGGATGGTTGCGATTGCCAGGAGACATGACGTGAGGTCGGGCATATTCGCTGAGAGTGCGCAGGGCTGGAGTGTCGGGACCCAGGTAGGGGGGCACTGTAGCCACAGCGCTGCCGGGCTCAAATGGAGGCCGATGGGACACTGGACCCAGAGACGGACACTCCACTGGAGCACGGCCCTCCTGAGCCAGCTTCTGCAGAATACAGGGAAAAAGGGAGTCAAATGGCAGTTATAACTACAGTTACCAGTCGCGGTGATTTAATGCCAAAACGCCTCGCCCCACGGACCCTGAAACCACCACCCCGTGCACCCATTTGCTCTTTCTGCTATCCCCAGGTTGTGGCCCGGGCAGGCCTGCCCATGCCTGGAAACCTCGACCGCAGGGCTGCAGCGGCTCCTCCTCTCCGACAGGGGACGCAGCGCGGAGGGGGGAAGTAGACAGGGCGCGGCCGTGACGCACTCACCACGCTGCGCTCCAGCTCGCGCTCCTTCTCGCGCTCCCGCTCCTTCTCGCGTTCCCGCTCGCGCTCCCGCTCCTTTTCTTCGCGCGCGCGCTGCTCCGCCTCGCGCCGCACCTTCTCCACCAGGTCCGCGCGCTTCTTGGCCAACTTGGATCCCTCCAGCGGCACGAAGTACAAGTCGCTGCGCGCGCACGAGTTAAAGCCGCGGTCCAAGTGCTTGTTGAACCTGCGGGTCGCAGAGGCGGCGCGCTCAGCTGGCGGCCCCGCGAGGCCCCGTCCCAAGCTCAGAGCAGGTGGCCCATGCCACTCTAACAGCACCGTAGACAAGACCCCTGCCGCCCCTACGACTTCCCCAGTCCCAGATGGCCCGGCAGCCCGCCCCAGTTACTCACCTGGCCGACTGGCTGGCGTGACTAGGGACGTCTACCACCTTGGGAGGGGGCGAGGGGCTGCGGGCTGGGGGCACCGGACTCTCGGGCGTCTCATACTCCTCGGCTGGCTCCTGTTTGATCTGTGTTGCCGTCAGGGCTGGCCCTGAGGCTGGGGCGGTGGGTGGTGGAGGCAGGGATGACAAACTTGAGGGCCCTGCAGGTGGGAGGGGCCCTGGCCCCACGGTGGGTGAACCTGGCTTAAAGGTTCCTGGGCCTGCTGGCGGAGAGGTCCCTCGATAGCCTGGTGGGGTCCCCGTTCTGAAGGAGGGTGGGGACCCTGGTTTGTATGCAGGTGGGGTGGCTGTCTTGTAGGACCCCGGGGATGGGGCTCTTTTGCTGTACTGTGGGGGCCCAGGTGGTGAGGCCGTTTTGTAGCCTGCTGGCGAGGAAGCCACGGTGGCAATAACGGTGGAAAGAGTTGCTGAGGAGGTGGTGACCGGAGGAACTGGTGGGAAGGGGTAAGGTGCTCCTTGGGGGCCCTGGGATGGGGAAGGGTGTGAACATGGAT